CTATTTATTCCCTTGTTGCTGAGGTTGGTTAAGGTGAGTGCCAGATAAATTCAACCATTAAAAAAGAAATTAACATTTCAAAGAGAGTTTCCTTAATCCTTCAAATAAATGACTTGCAGCTACAGGTTTAAATGTTTTAGCATAACAATATGGCGAAAGATTTTTATAGAAAAGTTTATTTTCAGGTGTTTAATAGTTTACCATATTTTGATTTAAAATATTTCACTTGTCAGTGTATAAACCTTGAACTTTCAGCCACTCTCTTTGGACATTGTCCATTTCACTGCTAAGATTGCTAACCTTAATCAACACTGCAGTCTTAATTACTGTGATACACTCCCCTCCTGTCACATGACTAGCTCTTCTTTTTCAAGATTATTTTCATTTCAAGTCTTTTACAAAACTAATTTGATTGTATTTATAAAAGTCTTTTTTCCCTTAAAACAGTATCTCTAAAAAGTTGAACACAGCTTTAACAACTCCAGAATCTTGCATTGTGTGTGACCAATTTTTTACAACTTCGCTTTTGTAGTGGTTAGAAATTCTAATCCTGGCGGTCTTTTTTGTATTACATGAACTTGATATCTGTTTTGAAAACTATAACTTGAATCTGTCTTTACACACACTTGCTACATATAGTGAATGTGCCTAGTGTATAATATAGTATATACGTGCATTGTGTACATGTGTATAGACAGTTGGAACTTTTTGACTTCTCAAGAACAAAATCTTGGTGTAACTGCGTATGTCTTCTAGTATGAGTAAGGAATATAACTTTAGGATATTATGTTTATAGGAGACACCAGTATTTTATCTTTTTAACAGTTTTTATAACTGTTCATGTTTTTTGACAGTTTGTTCCTCTGCTAACTAGGTACACGATACTTACGAAGACATGAATCAAACTAAAACAGTTCATAGAAAAAATGGTGAAAAAAATTGACAGGAAGAAAAGTAGTTTAGCAATTTATGTTAATATATGTATTAATTGTTAAAGGCCAACTGTGATCATCATAATCATTCAAGAAATAGCATAGAGTGTTACTGATATAAGTAAAGTAATTGGGCCTATCATTGTTTAAATATAGTTTGTTTTGCCCATTTTTGATATATGGGACTTAAAACAGATAGTTTGGCTTCTATGGCAAATACCCTGCATTATATACACAATTTTCTTTGATGTGTGAGTGTACAAACTGAGATAGATGATAAAGGTGGGGGATTTTTCCTTAATAAAATAAACTGGTATAAACACATACCACCTGTGTCAGCCAAAGCTACTTTTATTATGTGGCATATGGTAGCTCTGTCTTGTCAACTTTAAAGTATCAGAAGGTGGTGTGGTAAACATGGCCAGAACACATGCAGTATTTAACCCGGGTAGCTCTAATAGTTATAAGGACAAAAGATGGAGAGGGCAGCAGGTGTTACAAAGAACACCAGTCATGAAGAGAGCTGGCTTCAGCCAATATCTCACCTGTACAAAAGAGCTTCAGGTTTTAGTTCTGCCAGAGTTGTCATAAAGGGATTTATTACCTTCCTGCTTCTTCATCTATTTTCTCCTTCTATCTAATGTTAAAACCTTCAAGCAAGGTGGCATTATTACAGCTCCAATACTGCTTGTGAGGTAGCATCTGCACATGCTAGAAATAAAAACAAAAGATAATGCAGCCCTGTTATAAATGAGGTCCTACCATCTGTGTTACACTGCCTTAAGTGAGGTTTCAATGATGTAATATTGCAAGAACAAGCTGGAAAGATAAGCATGTATAATCTTCCACAGAAGATGCTGAAACTGTTCAGTTCAGGTTTAGCTTTTCATCCTCTGCCCCCTCCTCCCTCCCAATCTAATGTACTTGAAGAAATAAAATAGTGTGTTCATGTGGTATGTTACAGATCGCACTGAGAAGCATTCCACAATGCCAGACTCACCTGTGGATGTGAAGACACAATCCAGGCTGACGCCTCCAACAATGCCACCTCCTCCCACTACACAAGGAGCTCCAAGAACCAGTTCATTCACTCCCACAACGTGTAATTAGACTTATTTTATTCTTTTGTTGCATATTCTTTTGATTCTTGCTGTATGTAAGAAATCAAATTATGTGAAGGGAAGCCTATATGACAAGGCTGGAGTGTCATTTCATTATGCTGAAATAAACTGATTAAGCAGTTTTAAAATTAAGAGCAGAGCAGATTACTACATCTTAATCTAGTAAAGCATTCAACTCAGAGGTGTGGTAATTTTATTGATGGGTTTGTTGCACTGTGACTGCCAGTTTCCCTTGCTCTTTTGCTCCAATGCGTGTATCATTCCTTATGTGAGAAGTATGGATAACCTTCTTAGCTTTCAGGCAGTTCACTTGTGGTAATGGAATCCTGTTTGCTATTGAATAAAAATAAACAGAATTAATCTTTTAGGGAGAAAGACATGAACATTCCAAAATAAAGTTCCTTTTTCTCCTCCTGATAATAAATTAATGAATTTAAACCATGAATCATGTAACACTTAAATCAGTATTGCCTTTTAAAATTGCTAAAATATGCCTTTCATTTTGAACCAGTTGCATTTTGTCTTGAGGTCACTAGTTTGTAACAAAATCTCAGTTAATCTGATGTAAATGTAGAGCAGTGGGGCTTGCCACAAATTGGCCCTGTACCCTCTCCAGGTGCCACTCCAATCCCTTTCCTTTACCTGATTTATTGCTCAGCTTTCTGCTTCCTGGCTTCCTCCCTGATCTTATGCTCATCTTCTTGTCACTGTGCTGCCTGTCCCCTCTACACTCAGCCTGATGCACACTGGACACATCTACATGAGACGCTTTTCATGGAAACATGCAGAAGGCTAATTTGCTGCTCAGTAAAGTGTCATCATCTACACATGACCAGCAATCAGGATGCAGTAGACTAATTTACTGTGCTTCCTGATAGTCCTGTCAGATACAAATGGTATGCAGCAGTACAGTAAATTACTGCACTTAAACATGTGTAGACGGTGATAGCAGAATTAGTTTATTCTGATTCAGAGTGAGCCAGAGTATATTTAGTCACTTCAATTGCATGTGTAGACGTACCCACTGAGGTTGCCCATGTTGCACGTGGCACCCAATTCCAAAAGTTCTGTTGACCCCAGGGGAATTACTCTGCATTTATACCATTGTCACGAAGACCAGAATCTGGGTCATTGTCTCCAGAGCACATGAAACAGTCTATATTTCCCTCTGGCAATTTGACAATTAAAAATTTTGCTCTCATATAACATTTAATTGATATAAATATAAGAGCATGGTTATGCTTTAGCATTAAAAGAACACAACTTCTCAAGCTCCTACTCATATATATTCCTGCCCAGCATAACTGCATCATCTCATTTCTGTTACTATAGCCTTTGGTCCACTTTTTATTTACTATACAGTTTACCTCTGTACAAAAGGGCATTGAAAGGCCCATGCATTTTTTTAAGTCCTAAGACAGGGGTATCAAACATTTGGATCTGGCCTGTGGAGCCATGTCATTCAGTCCCTGGAACTGCCCCTGGGTCTTATCAGATCCATGTGGCATGCACCCATGGAGCAGAGCCAGTCTGTGGGCTGGATTGAGCCCATGGACTCCATCCTTCTCCTCCCCTCCCCCCAGCATACCTGATATGGCAGCTGCTCCAGTCTTCCTAGGACTAGTGCAGATCCCAGAGTACCCAAAACAGTGCCACATGTAGTACAGTCCAGCTGGCGCAGCTGCCATGCTGCATGCAGTGGCCATCCCAGCCAGACTGTACCACACATGGCATGCAGAGCCTGCTCCAGCTGGTCTGAGACTGGCACTGCACTCAGCCCTTGCAGAGGGGTCACATGCAGCATGGGTCTTGGAGTGACTGAAGCAGGCCCTCTATCCAATTCAGTCTAGCTGGGGCAGCCACCCTGTGTGGCACAGTCTGGCTGGGGGGGCCACTGCATGTATTGCGGCAGCCACTCCAGTTGGACTGCAGCACACGTGCTGCCATCCCAGTCATGGGCTGGATCCACAGTGCTCATCTGGTCTGTGAGGCCAGATGAATTTGACACCCCTGTCTTAGGGGAACTTTATTTTGAAGATTTATGGAGGAATTAAGTGGTGAGTAAGGTTTGTGCATACTCTGCATAGTTATAACATTAACCTATAAGCCCTAAACCTTGCTAAGACTTGTCTTTCTCCTAAACTTCAAGCACATGAATATGAGACCCAAATTTCTTGAAAATTCCAATAGCTAAATTCTTTTATTACCACTTTTTTTTTGATCCGCAAGCTACATTTCTCTCTCTCTCCTTTTGTTAAATAGTTTTTAGTTATTTACAGAAAGTGCCACCACTCATCCCATCCTTCACGCATGTCTCTTTTGGAGTGTCTTCCTTGACTGAGTTACTTCTGTGGACACTATCTCAGGCTTCCCTTCCAAGTCTGAGGAGCCTTTGTCTGCACTTCCCCATCCCCTCTTATAGGTGCTGCCCTTCATATTCCTCTGAGCTACCTCAGACCTGCCTTGTGGGTTTGCTGCCTATCAGCAGTGGATGAGGAGACGGAACAGATGTGCTTGGGGTCCTTCTGGAGGGTGACATTCTCATACCCATTCCAAATTATTTACTTAGTCTTCCTTGCAATAGTATCAGTTTAATGGATTTTAATATACATTTTAAACTCAGAAATGTACCCTAATTAAGTACTAAGAGGAGCATGGCTTGGAATTACTGTGACTGCAGTTTGAGCCAGCTCTTCCCTGCTTTTGCCAGGGAATTCCTGCTTCCACAGTTCAGCATGTGAGCTGAAGGTGCTGAAACTATATGGGCATCGGCCAACCCAGCAGAAGCATCTCAGTGGCCAAGGAATGGAAGTGGAGTTGCATCTGCACTTAAGCGGAAATTCTTTAAAAGTTCCACAGGGTTGTGATAGTTATTGAAGTTTGGTAAGAACTGGCATCCTTCAAAAAGTTTGAAAGAGTTGTTGTGTAGAGATGTGGTTGGCTAAGAAAGAATAAATCAAAGGGAAAAGTACATTTTTATGGGATGCTTGATCTGAGAGGCCACTGCTAAGAAAATGTTAAAATCTTTGTGCTGACGAGTTCTGTATATAGGGCCAGCATGTCAGCTGTATGTTATGATAACAGCTGCCTAAACTTTCTTGCTAGGTCTGTGGGTGATTCTACTTTGAAATTTTTTTAAAGATTTGTAGAATTCCACTGGCCAATTTTGGTTCTCTTTTTGGGTGGGGAGAACTGTGAGCTTACATTTGAACCTGCAAAAGCAAGAGTCCTTATTAAAGGCTGGAAGATGAGTGGCCCCTGAACAGCAGAGAAATCAACAAATGGCCTGTCCTCCCACCCCACTGATCAGTTGACAATGTGGCTGATAGGCTAAGGACTTCCTTATGATAGGCTAAGGACACCCAATAAATTGGGTGCACCCTTCACCCCTGTGTATAAGAAATCTCTAGCAGAGATTGTACTTCTGGCAGACACAGACCTCCTCCTGAGCATTGTTGCTTTTGCTATCCTTTAGTAAGTATGTAAACATCTAAGCAACGGCAAAAAACTTATCAGTCTTGCAGATAGAACACTGAGACGCAGAGAAACTAAGTAACTTGCCCAACATCCCATGGGAAATCTGTGGCAAACTTGGGAATTAAACCTAGATCTATTCCCAAGGTCTACACTCATGCCTTGGTTTCAAGACTTCAGTCTTAATAAATCCTGAGTGAATACTGCACTAGTCATATGGCATTTACAGATGTTGATGGCTAGGAAATACATGAGAGAAAGAAAATAGCCATCTCATTGGGTGGTATAAGGTTAAAACTTGAAAGACCTAGTTTTATAAACACAGCTGTCACTTGTGTATACAAAACATGATTAGAAAAGATCAGAGTTAAATTTAACCTCCACCAAATATGTGTGCAGAGGAGCAGTTTTGTTGCATTACACTTTTAATTGTTACACTTTATTTAAGCATGTGATGAAAGTGACATTCAAATGTTGTTCGTTCTGGTACAAAAAAACATTTTGGGTGCCTGGCAAATGTGCACTGGGGAGCCACTGCTGTCTCAAATCTTATGTACCATTTAATACCAACTTCTATGGAATAGAGACGAAATGTGGAGAGTCACTCTATTAAAAGGCTAGTCTTTAATCTTGCTGTTAAAGTGCATAATCATTACTGAAGCCAAACACAGAAAACTCAAACTGATTAATTTACTTTGTTTTTTTTCTTTTTTCTTTCAGTAACCAATGGCACTAGCCATTCTCCAACAGCGTTAAATGGAGCTCCTTCTCCACCCAATGGCTTCAGCAATGGGCCATCTTCTTCCTCTTCCTCTTCTCTGGCTAATCAGCAGTTACCACCAGCTTGTGGGGCTAGACAGCTCAGCAAACTGAAGAGATTTCTTACAACCTTACAGCAGTTTGGCAATGACATTTCACCAGAGATTGGGGAGAGAGTGCGTACCCTTGTGTTAGGACTTGTGGTAAGTAAAGAACAGTAAATATCTACTATTGTTTTTTCTTCATATTTGGAAGATTTATTTACAGCTATATAATGGACTTTAACCCCATGCACACACACATGGTTATTCTAGGAACATTGAACACAGGACTATAATAACCAACATCTTAAGACCCTGGCATTAGAGAAGTGATTCTACTTGATATCAGTAAATTACAGGCTGTTTTAAGGCCAGGTTTACACTAGAAAACACTTGCTAGTATAGTAATATCAGAGGTCTAGTCACTTATTCTGGCAACAGTGCCAGAATTGTAGACGCTGTGCTTCTACTAGCATAACTTATTTGGTTCAAGGCAAACATAGAAGATGTATTGGCCAAAGTGCCAAGAAAAGTATGTAATGGGAGCATAGATATACTGGGAAACTTTTTTTTTCTCTGGTGCACACCTGGCCACGGGCATTGAGGCTCCCTACTAGGACATTAATCCAGTATGTTACAGTTATATCGCACATTTTTTTATAATAGCATCTCTGATTCATCTATGCATGGATTATAGTACTCAGCAGTTTTAGTTTTTCACTGCTTATCTCAAATCACTTTCCCATTTTGCAGACAAAAATTAAAGTTCAGAAAGGTTGGTTGCTTACTATTAGGTCACTGCAATAAATCAGAAAAACAAAACTGGGGAAGAGGGTACATGGCAGGACACACTGCATATTCATATAGTTAATAATCATAATTAGTTAATCATAATAAGTGTTGCTTTTTTATTTTACAATAAATACCAGGTTTTCTAAAAATTCTAAACCTGGTGACAATAAACAAAACTTCATATACTACCTTTGTTCTTGTGTACTCTTTTTGGTTAAGCATGTTATGATGAGGGGGAGGAGAGAGGAAGAGAAGCGTGGGGAGAGCAGACGTGGGGGAGGTGATGTGGGCAGGTTGGCTCAGCTGGGCTCTTGGGAAGGCAGCAGCCGGAGGAGAGCGGGGGCTGCCCCAAGGCTCCCCAGGGCTCAGCGGCACTGGAGGTGGGGCCCAGCCTGGGCCTCGCAGCTCCATGGGGGTGCAGCACAGCCGCCCTGCTCACAGGAGAATGTAGCCTTGCTGTGCAGGATGTGAAGCTCAGGGAAAGGGGAGATGCAGCTCCCTGCTTGGCCTGTGTGCACTGGGTGCAGCGTGAGCGGGGCGGAGCCCCCCGGGCCAGGACTCCCTGGGCAGGATGCCACGTGCCTGCCACTTCCGGGCAGGAAGAGGCACTCGGCCAGCATGGGGTATGCAGGCAGCAGCAGCAGGGTGGAGAGGCTGTGTGCACTCCAGGGCAGGCATGGGCGGCATGTCCCGTCCCCCCCCCCGCCCCCCATACCTGCCCCAGGGTGAGCACAGCAGCAGGAGCGCTCCCACGTCCCATTGCCTCCAGAGGTCCCTACGTCCTGCGCAGGTCCAGAGGTAGCACCATGTGGTGCAGAGCCCAGATTATAGCCCACCTCCCCCCACATGCAGATCTGGGGGGCACGTGCCCCAATGCCTGCCCTGGTGTGCACGCAGCGGTGGGAACCTAACCTCCCCTCCTCCCACATCCTTGGAAAGGCCCAGGCTGCCTTTGTGCCAGCCCTGCTGTGGGGACAGGGCAAGTCGGCCTGAGGGGAGAAAATCCCCAGGGAGCAGTGGGCTACTACTGTGCTCTGCACCACAGTATAGCTGCCTCCAGAGCTGTACAGTACTCCACGTGCCTGCTGCTACCAGGTGGGCAGAGGACACAGTGCAGCAAATGCACAGCAGGCACTGGTGTCGCATGAGGCTCCTGGGCCAGTGGCAGCACGCTGCAGAGCCCATCACGCAATGGCAATCTGCCTCTGCCCCATGCACAGAGATCCGGGGGCCATGTATCCCCCCATGCCTGTCCCAGGAGCATGCA